ACTCGATCAAAAGCTCCATTTTCTAAACTCTCGCGTGAGAGACTCTTTATGGCCTTGACTGCATTGACATTTTCCGTAATCAAACGTCCATTAAACGCTTACAGGCTTTATTTACTTGGAAGCTTACTTTGGAGCTTTGACTATTGTCTGAAGTGTAGCGGGTGCTTGTGCTGCGCTCGCGTGCTACTAGCACCGTCGTCGCCTGCGCGTGCCGTCTCGTTTTTAAAAATGAAAAGGAAAATCTTATGAAAGTAATTTTAAGCTCCATAAGGTTTTAAGAGCTTTCGCACAAAGGCAAGACGAAGAAGCGCTTTGAGTTGCGAGTTTACCCGAGGTATTTTAATTAGAGGTACTGGGGAAACCAAAGACGCTGTCTTCATAATTAATGCATGAAAATAGTAGCGCATCAAGATTATGCTTTAATAAATTTTCGTGCGACTCGTGACAAGCTGCGGAAAAACCAAGATTAATTTATAATTCAGACTAGTCGGATCTCCTTATGCGCAGCTACTTTTGTGTTATTGAATTGTACGCGTGTATGGTAATAAAGGTATAACGGTTTATGAAAATGCAATAAAATCTCCCTGTGCAGATGTTTTCTTTTTTACAAACATCCCTGAAATATGAAGAAATTCTAATCGCATTTGCGAGTATCATAATTGTAAAAAAGTGGATAAAAAGGCTTATTTTTTTATTCAAGTGCATTTGTGTCATGTACACGTTGTAAAATCAAAAGTAAAATTACTATGTATTCTTCTGTTTTTAAAGTCAAAAGAACAATAATTATAATAACAAGCAAGTTTTGATCCTCTAACATACAGGCTTCACAATTAAAATTAAACAGCAATCCGTATAGTCGAATGATGGGTGAATATAAGCTACTGCATATACCAATAAAGCAGAAATGAATAAGCGGAAGAATCCAGCCTCGAAATTTCTCTAAAGATATAATTGCGACACGCATGAGAGTTTTTAATATTAATTTCGACGCGCGTTAAAGATAGGGCAAGTGCGTTTGAATATTTGTAGAATTTTATCCTGAAAAATGCATTTATTAAATTTCACGTAAATTGCAAGTTTCAATGAAAATGAAAAATGCCTTACAGAGACAGAGACATTTTTTTTAAATTTAGTACATCGACCAAGTGAAAATTGTCATACGTAGCAAATGCTTATCAACAGAAATCCTTCGTAATAATAAATAATGGAAGAATTTAATCATGCGATTCATTGAAAAATATAATAAATTTGCGGCGAAAAAGAAAATTATTCTCACGAGACTGGGAGGATAAAGGCAACAAGTTGTGCATATAAACACATAGCAGCAGGTATAAAGCTCTCAATCACGTATGGGTTGAAGGAAAAAAATCGGGCATAACTGCTGGCGTTGACCAGCGGCAGCAGCATCAGCAACTATGCGCGCCGCGAAGATTGTTCAAGGTTTACGTGCTCGCGCTTGCAGAGAGCAAGCTTTTATCGTCCTCGTAAATCCGCGAGTGTATACCCGTATACGCGTGTGTGCGCTCTTACACGTACATCGTATACGCGTACACACACCCCCTCACTCGTTCGTCGCGATGTATAAACGCCAATAAATATATATGTATAATATAGCTATATAGAGTGTAAGGGAGAGCTTTAATCGCTTTTCATTTTACGAGCTTAGACTTTACGACGCGCTGTGAGAGCGAGAGAGAGAGAGAGAAGCGAAACTTGTGCGAGCCCAACGACGATGGTCAACGGGAAAATTCGTCGATTATGTCTCTATGGCGCGGTGCCGTTGTGTAGGTGATAATAGTTGCACCCGAGTGTAAAGAACGTTGAACACATAGGCTCTAGTTACAAGCTCCGAGGCTTTGTTCGGAATGAAAAGTAGAGTTCCTGAATTGCGAAGCGTGGCAATAATGATGGCGCAAAAATTGCGCTCGTGATAGAAGGCCGTGCTCGAGTCACGCTGAAATGCCAATTGCATCGAGAGCTTGAATTAAATCAAGGCCCGGGGCACGATACATAGTCGAGCAAAGATGAGGATTCTTCGTATCGGTTAACGATATCAAACAGCGCAAATCCTGCTGCAAAGGGTCGAAGTCAGCCAGCCAAGCCAGGCTGTACACTCGGCCGATGCGTATTATAGCACGCGCTTATTCAATGACCAGCCCACGCAGCGGAGACGTCACGCAACACGCGATCCTTGTATATATATGTAGCTCGCTTTCCTATAAAGGCACGCGCTCGGATCACGAATGAACGCCTTTTCACGCGGCAGGATACCGCGGGGCTCCCTGCCTAGCGGAAGGATCGAAGCTCGCGATACATGGCGTCCGGTCGGAAAAGAAGACTTGCAACGGAGCCAAGCTCGTATGTATACACGCGTTCGCTCGACCGGCTCATACGTGTACGTGTATGTGCAAGAAGTCACAAATAGTATAGCGATGATGTTGGTATAGTAATGGTGATAGTGGGTTCTCCCTCGAGAGGGGTCAACAACTCGATGATCGGATGCAACGTCACCGCAAAAGTTTACTCATCTACGAGAGAATAGAAGGATTGTACTTTTTGGGACAAAAATTTTATTCAGCAGTAAAATTAGCCGGAAGTCACAAATCATGAGTCAAAAAATTCATCCCGCCATTCATTTTACGTATGCATTATTTTCAATGAATAGAGCCTTTTAATAATTTTTCGACTGAAAAATTTCTGGATTTTATGAAGAATTATAATTTTTTTACAGAGTGTTACAGCCCAACAATAAAACTTCATCTTATCCGAGTATGTAATCTTTTCATTATGAAAGTTCAAGAATAACGATACGTTAAATTTTACCTTTGTTCAGTAAAAGCTCTGTGTTTTACAGTGTCTTGAATTTTTCGTTTCATTCAAGAGACTTGTTCACAATAAACGTAATCGGAAGAAAATCGATCTCGCTCAAGTAGCCAATTAAATCTTGGAACGACGGGTCAAATCTCGAAAACGCAAAAGACGCTGAGATGACGAAAAGGATTCGATATAAATCTACGAATTAAGAAACTTTTTCTCATATTGTAACATTCCCACTTTCTTAGACTCAAGATACACCCTCTTGGCTTTTTCGGTTCCTTTGTCCCCTAGACATCTTTCACTTTTGTCGCTTACTGCTGGTTCTGCTGCTCCTACTACTTTTACTGTCCGTCCGTTTAAAGGCGCGCATATAGGTATAGCAACAGCGGGCAAAGGACGCGATGCAAGAATATATAGCAACACATTTATTTCAGTCTCGCACCCTCTTCTTTTTCTTAGTTCTCGACCCGTAGTCGGAAGAGAGCTCCGAGTGTATGGAAGTTTGTTGCGAGCCTTTTCGTTTCTTATTATCTGTACTGGACATGCAAATATTGAATTTTTCCACACACGTACGACAGACACCCTCCGACACGTACACGAGCTTTTTCCCATTATATAAGAGTGCGAGGTCAAAACTCTCGACCAGAGCATTTGGGACGTAAAATGTAAAACGATTAGAACATAAAACGTTAACACTTCATGCTGAACGAGTTAATTGCAACATTAGAAAGATAGTTTGTAAACTCTTGAACTGAAACGCCATGTGACGTGCTTCCATGAAATTTGAAAAAAACAAAACATGTAGAAACTCTGTATTACTGTTGAATCATAGCTGCTATCTAGACTATATTGAATTTATCGAGTCGAGAGTTGAGCGTTATTGCAGCTTTCAGCTTTATTTTCCACTTGGCGAGTTATAGTAGTTGATTGATTTTTCGAAAATATGATCACGCTTTTGTACGTGTACGTGATACTGCCGGAGGAAAAATAGCAATTTACGACTGTTGCAAGAGAGCGAGAGAGAGAGAAATCTGCAAGCTCTATCAGAAAATGACTCTCCACCAATGAAAATGCTCTATAGACTCGGTGACAGCTCGAGCAAATAACTTGCTTTCTTTTTTCCTATATTCATCCAGGATGTACATGGAATATTAACGATTTCATTACTCAACGTATTAAAGATTTCATAAAATATTTACCGAGTGATTTTTTTTACTGATAGTTATCAAGGTTTACGAGGAATTTTTTGAATTCATTCAAGATAATACTTGGTGCGAATTTAGGGTGCACTCGAGCGCGTTTCAGAAGCACGAATTTCTCGTGAGGAGAGAAAAATACGTCCATTAGAAATTGCAAGCTGTACACGTCGATACGATTGCCGATGTGCATATGAAAAAGAAAAAGAAGCCGCTGGCTCAGCTAGCTGGACGAGTTAACTTTGGTATTCGTCGATAAAATTCTTTTGTCAAGTTCGGACTCGAATATATATTGTCCGCATAAGAAAAGGAGAGAGAGAGAGGGTTTCAGGGATGTATCGCAATAGGTCTCTTATGTACATGACAAGAAGAGCAATGAAATTATCTGCCTGCAGAAATAGAGAGCAACCTTATAGGCTTCGGTACAAGAGAGGCGACTCGACGCAGGGGTCGCTTTTGCCGTACATAGCTGCTGCTGGCCTGGCATTATTGCTTAGCTCGGAGTCTGCCTGCCTGTCTGCCTGTCCGTCCCTCTCTCTCTCTCTTTCTCCTCTCCGGCGGTGGTTATGGTCGTCGCAGGGGTGATATCGTCGTCACGCGGTCACGTAGACTGACCTCAGTAGCAGAGCAATAACACAGCTCCGAGAGACAGAAAGAGAGCTCTATGGCTGTGACTATGGCGACACACACACAGACACCCCGATATACGTTTACGCAGCTGACGCAAGTCTCGGAAGGGTGTGAACTCGTGAAAATATATATTTCGCTCGACTCGAGAGGGAGCTTACGAGGCGAGTTATTTTTATCAATCGTTTTTGATGACAACATCTCTCGAGAATCAAATGCGCTATACGAGGAGCTAGCCAATCGAATCCAAGTTAACTTGGTTTCGTAGCGATTAGGCGCGAGGCACATTCGGCCATACATTACTTGAATAAATATTTGAGCTTGCGAGTGTGTAGAAATGAAAAACGATTTGGCACTTACCGTACATCTTGCCCTCGTCGGAGAGGATAATTTTGCGACGACCGCATGGAGGATATATGGTGAGTGCTTCTTGGAAGCTCTGCTCGATATCCGGCGACCAGACGCCCTCAGCATCCGCTGCCGATAAGTCCTTTTCATCCTGTCAAAAGCCATCAAAGCCAAAGCGTCAGTCGATATGATCCATTACATGTTAGCGCGACTGCACCGAGCGCGTTCATTAATTATGTTACGCGTAGTGCAGATATCCGCGTGCACACAGCCGGCTGCTACAGCTTTGCTTTATACTATATATTGGCTTATCGTTTATCGATACAGAAGCTGCGCCGCACGCATAAACTTTCCGATACTCGCGCAACGCTAAGAAGAATCGAGACAACGAAGTAACTTGTATAATTTATCAAATTTATCAACAACATGTTCCGCAAGCTTCTCATAAATAATATTTACTTAATATATGTTTACAACTTTTAAAAGGAAAATTTTATGAACGCGAGCGCGAAAATCCAAAACTATACAATTATGTTCACGGGATGCACTTACATCACTGATGTCGCCAACGTCGAGATTTTTTGTATCCGAGCCGGTGCCGTTGGCGTCGGGCGGCGGCCCGGAACTTGCGGGTGTCCACGGTGAGGAAATGGTGTCGGCTGCAGCCACCGCACTGCCTGTAATACACAAAGTGAAGAAAAAAACTTTAATACTTTAATACATAGACGATATATGTGAAATATTTATCGTGTTATTGATCAATCGGCTTGTTTCGTTCACAATCAAAAGTCTTGCATATGCTATATATGTAACAATGTTCAAATTCTATGTATTCGGTCTCATATAATCAAGTGATTTCAAATGCAAACTATTTTTTTGTTTTCAACGGTAGTAAAAAAAGTACAACCCGTCGTGCTCACTCTTACTTTATAACTCATCTTGGAGTTGTGAAAGGTTTGGGCAATGCAGTGAGCGAGAGAGATGTAAATCGCTCGCGAGATAGGTAAATATAAAGTACGACGCGCGTAATCTATATAGAGAGCTTAGACGAGGGAGTTAAGGTAGGTCGGATGCTGAAATTTCGTGGAATTCTAAGACTGCGCGGAGGATTGTACCGAGTCAGGCATGTCAAAGATATGTACAATACACACACACACACACACACATGCCCGTGCGGGCGTATATACGTCGTATATATGTATATGATGAACGCGATCCGTTCGCAGCAGCAGCCGTTGCGAAGCTCGCCTGGAAGTCGAAGCTTGCGAGCTTGCTGCAACGTATTACTACGTCGTATAGTCAGAGATTCAATGTGCTCGTGCTCGCTCTTCGGAGAGGAAGAGAGAGAGAGAGAGAGAGAGAGAGAGAAAGGAAGAGAAGTGGAGGAGGAGGAGGAGGAGAGAAGCAGTAAGTCGACGATGACGTCATCGCGTGCATTGCCGCGCTGCTCCACGTGCCTCCACGACGACGCTGCCGTCTGCTAATATTTCACTTGGATTGGAGCGCCGCGTGTGCTATATGATACACAAGCGTGCTTTTAAAAATTTTCCACGGATTCCCTCGCAAATCAAAAAATCTAGTCGGTGATTTTTCTTCTCGCGTTGTCATTGTACTCGACTTTTATCGTCGATGCGATCTTTCCCTTGGATAATAAATGCAATATCGCCGATGTTCGGTGTTCGTATCGCATAAGTGTGTGCGTGTGAACAATCACGTAGCATACAAGTAGAGCGTAGAGCGCGCGCAACAAGTGGTTTCTTTGCTATCGCGCGCTGGGAGCGTAGGCGTCGGGAGCAGCAGCAGCGTGTGTAGCGCGCGGGGGCGGTTGGCTCCGCCCTCGTCGCGACTCGAGCGCGCAGCAGAGCGGGGGTTCGTGCCGAAGCGAGGGCGGGTCGACCCTACGTTCCCCGAGCTTTCCTCGCTTTCCAGAGGGAGCGAACTGCGAAAGGAGCGAGCCTGCCTTTTCTGTTAGCCTGATACATGTACCTGCGCGCTTTACAACGAGCTTGCGACTCGCGCGCCGCTAATGTCTCTTCCCTACGTGACACGTATGTAAAAGGTGCACGCGAGCTGTAACGAAGCTTGCGCGGGGCTTGATTTTCCATACAACGCAGGGAAGCTCGAGCGCGGTAATCGCTCGCGACGAGTATTTACGCTCGTCGAGCGCGGGAAACTCGACGACGACGATCCGAACTGCAAACTCTAACAAAGCTGCGTGGAGCTTTTACACATCATCCGAGCAGGTGTGTAATACAGCGTTGTAATAAAAGTGCGAGCGCACGAGCGAACTCGTGCCTGCGCTGCATACCCGTCCGCGAGCCCTTTTACACGTCGCTATACACTCGCTCGGAAATTCACGAAAATGCCCGCGTGTATGCGCCACGTTGGACGAGCTTTCTCACTCGTCGTCGGCCAACTCTGTCGACAAATTTCAGCGGCGCGACCGCGAAATATGAAAAGCCAACTGGGCAAGTTTGACCGGTCGGGCTGCGCGCAAGCCACACGCAACGAGAAAGAAAGAGAGACACACGGAGGGCAAGGAGAGCGGCGTGCTTGGCCAAAACCGCAACTGTATAGTGGAATAGCGCAGCGACGAGCTATATGTATACTCGACTTGATTCCTACACACACATGCACGATATAACGTAGTCTATGCGAGCCCCGATAGGTTCAGTGGCACCAAGCCTCGATGCACGTGTGCGAGCGCTCGATGAGCGAGAGGAGCGATACGATAAAAAAATAGAACTGCGCGCGAGTGGTTTGCACGATCGAGGCTCTCGCACATGGGTAAAGGTATACGTTTACGCTCACACGGGGAAGCCGAATATACACGTATATGTACGAATATACACACGGAAGGGGCTTGCGGCTTTAATGGAGACGCGCATATTCGGTAGAGGCGGAAGCATACATCACGCGAGAGACCGAATGACACATGGAGGCAGCTTGCATGAAGGATGCGGAACGCTTGTCCTTGTGGAATGTTGAGTACGCGTGCTCGCTTCTCTCTCTCTCTCTCTCTCTCTCTCTCTCTCTCTCTAGCGTCATGGTCTATGCACCGCATAGAGAGACAGAATAAGAGACAGCGAGAGGGATGGATGGATGAATACACACACACACACATATATACACAAACACGTGATATAATATGCATATGTGCGTCTCATGGAGCTTATTGCCAGAGATACATACGTACCGTAGGTTGCAGCTTACTCGGCGCATTCTTGCACGAAAGACCGCGGCGAATGGCGCCCTGGGATTGCACGCGGCGGGGTGGATGCGAATTCTAAGTTCATTCGCGAATTCGTACAAGAGCTTTTTAATTTTAGATAAATATTGCGGAGCCAAGATAAGATGTTTCTATCGAAAAGTGTATCGCTCGAGTGCGAATTCGATCTTCCCCAATGCCAACAGCACGAATTCTCGAACTTCTCGGCGTTTTTCTAGAGTACGTAGCAATTTTTTTTTAAAAATATCAACAGTTTATTAGTTTTTGAAGAATCTTTTACTCTGGCAAACAAGATATCAAGGTTTTTTTTATTATCAAAGAAGGCAACAGGAGTAGAAATAAAATAGAATAAAAAAAGAGAGGAAAAACGAAGTCTCAAAAGAAATAAAGAGAAATTAAAGTGAGAAAAGTGCGAATAGTGTAGCAGCGCAGCAAAAGCGTAGGAGTATTCAGTAGTAGGGTTTTGTATATATATACCACGCGCGTACGAGGGAGAGATAGCTAAAATGAGGGTGAGGAAGAGACGGACGGAAACTCTGGAATGCGTACCGTTTAATATCGCGGAACATTATATATATCGTCCCTTGCTCTCTCTCTCTCTCTCTTTCTTCCTCACCCTCTGTCTCTTATATATAACTTGTATAGCTCCTCGCTATCTCCTGTGCTCTGTGCTCCAAGCCTGCGATAGTAAGTGTAAACGAGTATTTGTTGGCAAAAATATACTTGTACACGCAACGTGTGTATGCGTTTCAAAACCTTTCAACGGTACTTCTTTTAGTCGAGAAAAATGGCTGAGTTTTTAAAAAAAAGAATTTAAAAAAAGTTAAAACTCTGCTCATTCAGCATGTGTGCGCGCATGGAACGAACAAGAAATCGGAAGACTCGAATAATTAAGATACGAGATATAACGATTATGTGGATGCGAGTAACAAAACCGACAAATTTCTTTCATCAACGTATGTTGCACTGCGAAAAAAGTTACATCGCTGCGTACGGACAAAACTGAGTGTTCAACATTATACAAATCCCGCGCGCGAATATATTCATTCTGAAATGCTTCATTAAGCTTTCATTTGATTCTCCCTGGCGCGTAAGAGAGAGTAGCTCTATTTTCATCCGTTAAAAAGAACTGCGAGTGCGCGCACGTGTGCGCACGATTGCCTGACTTATTAAAGGACATAAAGTTACCACTTGAAAAATTTCAATTACGCATGCGCGCGAGTCTTACTTACTCTTTTGTGCGTCGTAAAAAAAAGTGAGTAGAAAATACGCGCAATGATAAAAAAGAAAAGAAGAAGAGTCAACGACTTTTCATAATTACTCGCTCGATTTAAAAACCAAAAAAACTTTGCACGCGATGGCGTCGATGCTGTTACTGCTGTACTGCGTTAAATTCGAGCAGAAATAATGAAATCATCCCGTTGAAAAATGGTGAAAAAAAACGAGGCTGGTAGAAAACATCTAATGAATTTGTCACATCCCCCGCGCGTTGTATACACCACTCGAGCGAATGAACGCGAAGAAGTGCGACGTATTCGCTCGTAACAGATACATACACGATAGCTCGTAAAGCCCGACGATGAATATATAGATTACAGGCTTGCAGTTGCAAGGGTTAATTTTGTCGGAGTGGCAACTACACAGCTTGTACGCGTGTGTGGATTTCTTTCATCGTGTGCAAACGCCGCATCGCGCACACTTACGGGCTGGGCGCGCACAATGACACCGTCGCGCCCACATCGACAAGCGAGACGGATTCACACAACAGCCCCTTTTCTAAATAAACTAGGATGCACAAGCAATTAGAGATGTGCCCGATATACATGTGACAAGCCACGACGAGCTTATATTCGAGGTGCTCTCGAAAAAACAGTCGCGCGAAAAAATGGGGATGCGACCGAATGAAAATCGGCCGATTGTGTATCGTACGCGTATACAGCCGACGTTGTCGTCGATGCAATTAAAGCTCATTTTTATCGCGTGTGTGCCGCGCATCTACGCGCTTTTCTTTGCTCGCTTTTTCACTTGCTTCTCTAGCGAGTACAATAAAAAAAGAAGATGAATCGCGTACGTTTGTTTATGAATTTTCTTTCGTTCTCTTTCGATCTTTGCTCGTGCGCGCTTCAATACCCATCCCATACGTATGAAAGGAGCATTAATTAAAAAGCAAGCGCACGATTGCTAATTGCTCGCGTAAAAATATCATCAACGACGTCACTCGCACCGGGCTGTATATACATATTAATTGTCGACGCTACGAATTACAACGAGGCAGTATTATATACGCGACGCCAGCATTCGCGAAATCAATGATAAAATTGCAAGTGCCACACACGTTAGAGAGTCGTGTGTGCATTCTGCTTTCTAATCGCTTCTGTCTATGCATGCAGCTGCACGGCAACAACAATGGGTGCATCAACAAAAGGCGACGCGCACGATTTCACGTCC